AGCAGAGTTAGTTTTTTATCGTAATTTCTGCTGAAGAGCTTTAGTTTATTTGCTCACTTGTGTGTTTGTTTATTAGTGAAGCTGTTTGTTATTGATGGTGTGTGTGTGTGCGTGTGTGCGTGTGTGTGTGTGCGTGTGTGCGTGTGTGTGTTATTGAGTTGGGGGATCAGGGAACAAGTGATTTGTCTTTGCTGAAAATCCGTCATGTTTTAAAGCGTCAGTTCACTGGAACTACAAATATATAAGTCAATGTCGTGAACGTCGTATTTGTGTGTTTCTGGTTTCTGCTGAATTTATAAATCAATAATAATTAGACGTCGTTTTTTCTCTCTGATGGAGAAAATGTAGTTTTTTTGAAGAGCGATGCCACAAAATGAATTATTGTAAAAACCCTTTTCAACCTCAAACCGTACAAGTCTTTTAATTTGGGAGCGTTGTCCCTTTAAGACAGGACGTGTTTCCGGTTATTTATTTCTTGGTACTTCTGCCTTTAGCTGATCGTGTGGTCGAGAGGCAGAGAGGAATTATGGGAGGAGAGAGAAAGGGAGGATGACAGCGCTCCATCAGGTCTGAAATATCTTCACGATGGAGACACTAGATGTTTTACTGAAGGAGGTGAAAAGTTAAAATGGCGTCTGCTCATTGTTCCTCAGCTGAATCCCAGTCTCTGTGCATGCTGGGAAAAAGTGTGAGATGCAGAAGAATAAAAAAGTTTTGTAATATTATAAAGTATTAAACTTTAAGATGTCGCTTATTTCAGATATTTCAAATGTGACACTTGATTTTATTTTGAGGAAAACAACCTGAGCTCAATTTGAAATCGTGAAACTCCAAAACTAAAGAAGATTCCTCGTTCCCTGTTGAACGTCAGTGTGTTTTCAGAGTAAAGTCTGAGGGGGCGTGGACCGCTCTGTCTCTTATTAAACTCTGGTGTGTTCCGACACGCAGCTTTGAACCGCAGACCCGCACGTTCACCCTCGTGAAGGTTTAACTCGACCTCCTCTTCTTCTGCAGATGAACAGATGAACACGGAGGAGAAGAAGAAGAGGAAGCAGCGCAGGAACAGGACCACCTTCAACAGCAGCCAGCTCCAGGCTCTGGAGCGAGTGTTCGAGAGGACACACTATCCCGACGCCTTCGTCAGAGAGGACCTCGCCCGCCGGGTCAACCTCACCGAGGCCAGAGTCCAGGTAGGAGCGATGACATCACAGCTGAGCGTCCTTCGGGTTCTGATCAATTATGAAACACGTTCAGGGATTTTGATTCAAACTAGATCATCTCTCCTCACGAAGTCACATTTAAATTCTCCACCTCCACATTCAAACGCATCAAATCAACTCACACGCTCATAAACTTCCTCTTCATTCGTCCGACATGATTGGATTCAGATTTGAATTATTCTTTGAGGAATGGTTGACATGGTGTCCAGCAGTGACACGTCCTCACGTCATGTGTTTCCTCTGAAGAGCGCAGCAGCAGCAGCGATCAGTCAGCGTGTTTACGTTTCACACTAACGCAGCTTCTGATGAGAACGTGTCGACTCTGTTCAGACTCCTTCAGTCTCACAGCGACGGTTCAGAGCCCGTGAGCAGCCGCTCGCGTCCCCAGAGGACGTGATTGGATCTGATCGGAAAAGTGGACGTAATGACGTCTCATTTCCTCGGCGGTTTAGAGATCGCTGATAAACAACGAGCAGAGCCGCACACGAGGGAGGCTGCAGCAGAGCATGCTGGGTATGAAGGTGCTGATGTCGTATGTCCAGACCCAGATTTTTATTTAAATTTGTTTTTAATGCAACAAGACACACACACACACACACACACACAGTTGAACTATTAAAGATCATATATATGAGATTTTAAGTATTTAACGTTACATGTTAAGTTGTAAAACCTTCAACATTAGAGATTATATAGTTTTTTCCAGTTTTTAAACATTGAAAGTTATTTATCTACAGAAGTGAACACACTGCAAATTAAAAACAGTGAGCTGCAAAAAGTCACAACACGTGAAAACTCCGACATCACCACTGACGAGTGAATTCTCCAACTTTACATCGAAGGTTCATCTCTGTTTGGTTCCCTGGAGACGTTTCTGGTGTCAGTTTCACTGTTTACAGCATGTTTCTGTTTACATGCTAACATGTTTACATGTGTTACATGTTTACATGTGTTGAGAATCAGATCTTAAGTTTGCTTGCAGTGCAGTTCTCTCGGCCTGCGGACACAGAACTCATTTCAAACATTGAAAAGACGATGTAGTCTGTGGACATGAGCGGAGCGTGAGCACATCATCGGTACAAAGCTCGTGACCGATCCCGAGCGGAGACTCTCATGAGTTCATGTTAGTGCACGTGAGTCCCTCCCTGTGAATCCTTGGTTACCTGTGCACTAATGATGGCCGCTGAGCGTCTGCTGAGGAGCCTCGCTGAGTGAACGCAGCCCTGACGCGGTTCGATCACATTCAGTGAGTTGAGTGTCTCAGACGCCGACAGGAGCCTCCAGTCACCATGACACGATTTCATTCGACTGGAAACCATCAAAGCAGACGTTGGATAAATGTTTGTCAAAGATGTTTCTGAGGTTTCAGCTCGTTCTCGTCTCTCTGAGGTTTGATCAAGTGTTTCTCATCAGTTTGGTTTCATTAGTTATTGATGATGTAGAAACAGGCGGAGACGCCATGATTGACAGCTGACACTGACTCCTGATTGGTGGAGAGCCTGTTTCCCCCGCAGCGTTGGTGTCTCAGGAAGTGGAGACGGCGTCGTCCGAGTTATTTTACAGTCTGGGCTTCACATAAACTACTGCGCCATCTAGTGGCGGTGAAAGTGGTGTTTGTGACCTTTAACCTGTAGAAACAGGAAGAAGGCTCTGAGATAAACTTATATATAATATAAGTTATTCAACAGTGACGAGAGCCGTGTGTTCCTGACACAAATAAAAAGAGGGAACACTTCCTGCAGATCAATGTGAATCTCTAATGTCTTTTCAGTGTATTTTCTCCGCCGGCTCTTTAATCAGCGCAGTGAAAGTATTTGTTCTGTGGGCAGCGTGAGAGGGGGAAGAGGAAACAGTGATGATGGAGGGAGAGAAGCAGCACATCTGTGATTAATGTGAAGCAGAGAGCGATGCAGAAACCCTTTGATAAAAGAGACTTTGAGTCCATTCCTGAGGCCGTGCGTCAGCGGACAGCGAGCCCCTCCGAGCGCTCGCAGCTTCTAATAATGGATTTGATTTCACCACACTGAGGAACAACATTAGCACCCCCCCCCCCCCCCCCCCCCAGAGGAAGGAGAGAGGGAGGAGTGATGTTTTAAAGAAGAGAGAGAGAGAAAACTTCTGGTTTGTTTGATTTCTCTTTAAATGATTTTTACGGCCTCTGTTGCTACGGTGATGTCGTGTCAGTGAAACAGCGACAAACCTTCAAACACTTAACGACCCGACGGTTAACGACAGATATTATTCATTTAGTGTTCTCATCATGTCATGTGATGCGTTCGGGTTCTGTCTATGACATCACCAACGATGAACACAACAGAGACAAAGAGGAAACAACAGAGTTTAAACGTGGTTCGGAGACCAGGGACAGAAACGCTTCAGATGGATCCAGATGTTTGTGAAGAACAGAACCAGATCACATGATTCCTCAGGAAACAGAAACACGACAACACACATTCAAACATCACGACAACAAAATGCAATTTATTAAACTGGACGATAAAATATCTGAAATTAGGTCCAGACACTGGAGTTTGTCGTCCACATGTGAAGAACGGAGCAGGAGACTGTCGTAGAGTCTGACGAGAACAAAGTGATTTGAGACGTCGTTCACGATGAGACGTTGAGATGTTGAGACGTTGTTCACGTTGTTCACGTTGAGACGTTGTTCACATTGAGAAGTCGTTCACGTTGTTCACGTTGTTCACGTTGAAACGTTGTTTGTTCTCTCTGGTTCCAGGTCTGGTTTCAGAACAGGAGAGCTAAGTTCCGCAGGAATGAGCGCGCCATGCTGGCCAGCAAGAACGCCTCGCTCCTCAAGTCTTACTCCGGAGACGTGACGGCGGTGGAGCAGCCGATCGTACCGCGCCCTGCGCCGCGCCCAAACGACTACCTGTCCTGGGGCAGTGCTGCCCCCTACAGGTAGAGTCCACACTCACCTGCCAGCACCCAGTTACCTGACATCACTTTCCATTAACACACTGAACTGAAATAGATGGAGAGATGGAGAGATGGAGAGATAGATAGAGAGATGGAGAGATAGATAGATAGATAGATAGA